ATGAGATGTGCAAAGTGTTTGGATGTTGTCTTGGCAGCTGTTCCATGAAGCCCCTTGTTCAGTGCCATCAGAAAGATGGGATGCTGCAAAGAGGATGGCATTTTTATTTAAAGAGATGCAGAGTTGCTACTCAAAGAAAAATAGCAAGATCTTCTGATACTGTCCACACAGGAGTAATCCAACTTTTTTTGTTATACATAGTAACAGAGAAAGAGTACCAAGGCAATGTCCTTGTCCATTCCCTCCTCATTTTCTTTTCCTCTTTATAAAAATGCTATCGAATAAAGAAGCCAAGATTTTTGAGTCTGTTGCTCACAGGGCTTTTAAAATTATATTTGTTGTTTTCACACTGCTTGCCTGAAAAAGCAGCTGTCAAATGGAGAACTCTGAGAGCTGGGGGAAAATACTGCAGTAGTGTTTGATTAACAATATTTTTGCAGGAAATTGAAATGCTGACTATTCTTAACCTCAGGCAGAGGAAGACTCAAAGCCAATTCATATTCAGTTATATATGGCAACCTGTTTTAATTTCATATGCCTTCATAGGATCTGATATTTAACTGTGCTTTTTTTCCTTTATATTGTTGTCTGTTGTAGCCTTCCACTTTTTGTGTCACTTTTTCTGTTATTTATTTTTTAATTTATTTTTAACTGCATGTCTGCACCATTAAGAAATACATTCTGAGAGCTTTCACGTTGACCCTGTGTCCTACAGTGTTTTACTGCATCACTTCAGCAAGCATATGCTCACATAGATCTGTTGGCTACAACGGAACATAGTTGATTTACATCAACTAAAGGTCTGGATTTTATGTACAACACTTTCTAATTCCCTGTTGATAAAATAAATTCTTTTTTTTTTTTTTTACAGTTTGTAACAATATTATCATTATGTGTGCTAGTTACATCTTGGTGTGAATCAGTCCAAAAAACTCTAAATTAAAATAGTTGAGTGATCTAAGTCAGTTGCAACGCAGTATCCTCACAACTTGGAAAAATACAGCCAACATAAAAATAGGTGGTTGCTTCTTTCTTTGTCTGTCTGTCTTTTTCCATGGAACGAAGTAGATGGATGTACCTTAAAGCTTTAGTTCTGTAGGTACTTAGAAGTAGTTTGTATAATTGGGAAAATCAGTAGATCATGTGGTCCTGGATAGATCATGTGAACAATTAGGATGTGAACAGTTAGAAATCCTCTAATTAGTAGCTTAGACTCTAATTTTATCCATAAACAGGAATCAATAAGCTTCTGTCTCACAGACCTGTAAGAATATTTCAGTGGGGCTGTGAAGTGTGTGAAAAACAAGTGGTCTGTCAGTACTGGAGCCCTTTCTCAACACCTTCGATACAATCCGTTGTGTTTGGATGTTGAGATGACAAGATTTCAAAAATCTCTGAATTAAGCAGAATTCTGAACAAAGTCAAGTGACTTCCAAATTTGTATTCTTAGAATAAATTATCAGTGTTTGGAGAAGAGCAAGTCTAACACCTAACCTCTGGGCTTGGAGCTACTGCGTTTAGATGACTGGCAGAACTACCCCAATGAGTTCTCCTTCTTCACATTTGAGAAAAATACATACTGAATTAGAAAGTGCACACCCTCCTCCCTTGGTGGCCACTAAGTATTTGTTTGCTTTTTAAATTCAGGGGAGGAGAGGAGAAAAAAGCTAATCTCACAAAGGTTCACCCCACCCTCTGCTTGGCTTCTCCTCCTTGGCAATTCTCCCCAGCAGCAGCTGGCTGACTGTTTTTCTTCTGCAATTCTGTTCATGACATTTCCTGCAACTAGGTTTTTCTGAAGGTTTCCAGCAGTCGTTTCAGTCCCCTGCCCTCCTTTTTTGGCCTCATCCTCCCCCAGCCATGGACCTGTGCCTAGTTCCCAGCTGTTTAAGGACCATATCGCCACCATGCAAATACTCTATATATCCTCAACACATACAGCGAGTTTCTGTGGCTGGCATGTAAATCTTACTAACTTACTGAGAGTCAGTGGTTAGTGTAGGGTATGCAGAACAGCTGTATTTCTGCTGGGGGTGTAAATAGAGACAGTACTTCCCCAAGCTACCAGGTCCATCAGAGAAACAAAGTCTGCACTGAGCTTCTCAGCAGTATGGGTTCTGTTCCTGGCTACTGCTTGCCACCATCCTGATACTTGCTTTATTTAATGTAATTCTTTTTTGATCTTGCAGCATGTAACCCTCTTCATGCAGAAGAATTTATATAAAGAACTGAAATGATGGAGAACTGATGCACAGACCCTATTTTACATAGTGTACCAGTACTTTCCCTCTCCATACCACTAAAAGATGCACAGACTGTCCTTTCACAGGCTTTTATAAGCATTCCAGTGACTTAATCTCTTAGTGCAAAAGCCTACTTCCATATTAAGTTCTCTGTTATCAATGATATTAAATCAATATTCTCAGTGCTGCAGGATCCAAGTCACGTATAAGCCGTCACACACAGTTTAACTTTAGAGATACAGTATTGAGACACAGTTTGTTTTTTCAAAGATTACAGAGTCCTTTAGAGCTGCTGAAAATCCGCTTATTCCTTGTTGTAGCCAGTTTCTTATAGGCTGTGTGACTTTCTATTCTGCTGACAGTTTTGTTACAGACCAGTAGTCCTGTAAGTCCGAGAAGATGACTGCTATGCAATTATCAGGAGTAGCACTGGTGAGGCCTGGTTGTGTGTGTCAAAACAAGACAACACATTCTTTAAGAGAATTAATAGACAAAGTAGTGTGGGTTCTTCCTGTATGCGTGTTGGATATCTAGTTTTTGTCAATGCGAGTTTGCACACAGTTCTGGACAATCCGACCAGCCTCCCCTGGTGTGCTTCTTTGTCTAATTGGTGACATCTGTGTTTAGAGTCAAAGATGGAGAAAAACAGTAATTTGTCCCTTGCCAGAGACACTGAGGAGAAAACATACATCTGGGATTTATTTGTGTGAAAAGCTACACAACTGAAGTACTACGTCTGATTTCATCCTGACCCAGCGGTGCCCTTTTCATTTAGCATATTAAGAATCGAGATTTATATAGAGATATTTTACAAGTCAGAAGTGACACTTATTGTAAAATCTTTGTTATTACAGCAGATCTTTCTTTTTTTTATTAAACTGCCGCTCATCTGTCTGTCATAAAAGTGAAGTAATTCGTAATACGAGCTGACTATGAATGCTTTCTGTTACACACTTCAGGAAAGCTATGTCATGACAGACATAAAGCTGTACAGCACAACAGGCAAATGTTATGCTACATGCCTTTTCAGCTGGTAAAACAAAGTGAACTTTGCCAACACAACTCGCTGTTAACTGAAGTTGCAGAAGGCATTTTTCCAGCTGTGGGTTATGGATCATTAGTTGTCTGCAGGTTCTGAACTCCTCAGAAATGCTCTGAGAAGCAAAAGGTGGGATTGTGCCTTGTCAGGGCACTTAGTCATCAGACCACATGGCTGGAATTACACATAGGTTCAAATACAGCAACTTCCTAAAATGCAACAGGGTCAATCTGTGTTCTGAGCATGGAGGAGAGAGACAAGGAGCAGCCAGCTTTTCTTCCTCTGTCTGGTTGCATTCAGTTTTGGTCTCATACACTTTCAGTTTTACCATTTAATTTGCTCCCGTCAAGGAAGGAGGCCACAGGATGTGGCAAGAGGAAAACAAAGACTCTCAGCAGATTGGTGACAGTCTGTCATCTCAAAGCTCAGCTTCTGGGAGTACTTGACCTGCAATCTCAGCTGTTTCTCCTATGAAATCTTAGGAAAACCAGGGTCAGTTAGGGAATTAGAAGTTTTATTCAGAGATGTTGCTTAAGTAGATAAGAAAATTCCATTTACGTTACCCAGAGGTAAATTAAGAAGAAATAAATGGCTTTATCTACAGCACAGCCACCTGAAGTGTGTGGAATTCCAGCGTGAATGCCCTGGGCTGGGCAGAAAAGCTTCATTATGATTAGTAAGGAGGCTGCTGTGCTACCTTGTGCCTGACATATGATCTTGGGTTTGTGGGAGAGGAGAAAGAGGAGAAAGAGAATTGCTTCAAAGACTTCTTGTACTTGCTCAAGTTTCAGCAGGTTGGGTTTTTGTTTGTTTTGTTGTTTTTCTTCTCTAAAACAAGGAGAAGAATTCTTGATTGTGTTACAGTTTCACAGCAGTATTGACCTTGCGCTATAGTGATATGAGGTCTATTAATTCAGCAGGGATTTATGTTGAAGATGCTTGTAATAAAATGAAACAGCCCTAAGGTAGGATTAAACACAGAGTAGACTTGGGGGATTTTTATATTAAAAAGGGTAGAACAGATCCTGGAAACCTCTTGTTTGCGTGTCTTATCTGTTACAAACGACTAATTCATCCCAATATTGTTTGAATGATTTTGACATGAAAGTGATGTAACAGTTGAGAATGAGGGCTCCATCCTTTCTGAATGGATGAGATTGAGTGTTGCGAAATCTGTTTGTGAAAGATAAAATTTATGTTGTCATAATGCGAAAGTCTATTAAAATAAGATCTTGGATTATAGCATTGCTCCTTCAATTTGATTGTATATTTAAAAATAATTGGTATTGTGGAAAGAAAATGTTTGTGAGTTGGTCATTGAATTGAACGTACTTCAGTGTTATACATCTTACAGTGTGAGATTTTTATTAGAGAGAACAAAACCCAATGAAGTGAAATACATGCTGTAAAAATGACACACACATTTGTACTTTGCTTATGTACAACAGGGAAGTCTGTTTTGCTATTATTTAAATAGGACGTCAATTTCTGACTCCAAGTGACATGAATTTAATCCTGTCTAAACTCTAGACAACAGCAGCCCTTGCATGTATGGGGTTTGTGCTAAAGCCATGAGGACTGAAAAAATTTCCTTTCATTATGGTGGGTTAATCTGGAAAATGCAGTTACTAGAACAGTAAGAACTTGAACAAGTTGAATACTGGAATTTGGTTCTTTTAAAACATTCCTTCAGGGCTTATTTTTTTTCCTTCTTGCAGGCTCCCAGACAATACAGCCTAGCACTGAACAAGAGTAACAGAGTCCATCTTTACTGTGCATTTCTGGACTACAGGTCTGTGATACAAGTTAAGCTCTTTAACCTGGCTAAATCAAAGAGCATGTCATTTGTGATGCTTTACGTTGCCTATCTTCTTCTTGATTTCTTTCATTTATAGAAGCAGTTAAAGTAATGAAGGCGCTGGTTTACAACGCATACAATCTCACAGTGGCTTTTTACTATAACTAGGAGTTGGTTTTTTTCACTGACCCTGTGTTAAGTTGGGGATTGAGAGCTTGAAAAATATGGAATCAAAACTAAAATGCAGACTGATACTGATCCTGCTTAAGATGGTTTATGCATATACCCATTTGGGCAGACACTTGGATGTTTTTAGATGGCAAGCCTCCAGCAGAGCCATTGGTTTCACTGGATCTCTGCCTGTTTCACAATGCTATGTGAGATCAGTATTTAAGAGCTGTGAATTTTGGCCAATGCATGCAATGAAGAAACATTATGCCCCTGAATGCAAATGAAAAGGAAAGGTAAATAAATAAAATGTCACTCAGAAAATGGGATCTGTGGAAAAGCAACAGCTTTTATTTTTTATTTTTTTAGCTCTGAATCTATTTATCCTGTCTTCAATTTCTGAGCACGTTGCTCCTGTTGAGTTAAAACACAAAAAGTATTTTCTGAATCTTGAATTTTATGGAGATTAATATTTTTTGTGCTGTAATGATATAAGCTTAATTGGTGTAGCAAAGGACTGCAATGCTGTGATCTGTCCTATCCAGCATGCACACGGGAAGGTCACTGTAATTGTTTTATTAAAGTTTTGTTTCAAGGATTTTGAACTGTCCCAGCTGTTAGCAGTTAATTGTCGTTATGGTTACTCAGGAATTACAATAAATTCAAAACAGATTTTACTGAAGCAAATTAATTTGGCTGGGGCATTGTTCCTGTGTGGTTTTCCACTGAGGCTTGGGCCCTTGAGGCTGTGCCTTGGGATAGAAACTGAAATACAAAGTCTATCCTTCCAAATGCGTTTCATTTGTGTCAAGATATTCCTATTCCCTGATGGATGGTAGTTAAAGAATAAGCAATTCCTAATGTGCAGAAGGCTCCCTTTGAGAATTCAAGGAGGTCTCATAGGACAGACTGAAAGATGATTATTTTACCTATTGTAAAATAAGCTCCGATGAAAATATTCATCACTCAGTCTAGCTTCAGGACCCAAAATAATATAAAAAATAATAAGCAGTTAAAAACAGTGCAGTGACCTACGTTGCCCAGAACTCCACCAAGATGCAGCTTCTATGTTCCCGCTCTGTCATAGGACTCCTGGCAGGGCTGTGTCAGCACAAGGCTTTCCAGGTTTTCCCTGGCTCCAGGAAGCAAACTATGAGCATCACATCCCTTGCTGCCTTGGGATTGAGCCATGCGGCCAGGCCAGCCATATCCTCGGTGGAGCAGGAGCTGCTCTCATTGTCCCAGAGGTTGAAATGATGAAAAACGATTGGCATGGGCAGCTCACTAGAAATCACGCTCAATCAGTCTAAATTACTTTCTTTGTTAGGACAAGTGGGACACTGAATAAGAGAAAGACAGAAGATACAATATGCTTTGAGTCTCTGCAAGATTATTGACTTGTCTGATATGATAGTTCTCGAAATACAGAAATCTGTGTCTAGAGAAAATGCCATAAGTGAGTTGCACAATGTTGTGAAGAAATGTAGCTATTCATTAGTTATAAAACTGGAAAGTAATCTCTAGTGACATTCAGATAGGGGTATGATTTAGGCCCTCTTGGTCAATATTTTCCTTATTTATTTTCATGGTGGAATTGAGAGGACACTAAGAGTGTTTATGAGCACACAAGCCCACAATGGCTTTCAAATTTTATATCTCCTGTACAGTACAATACATGTCAAACTAACCTGAATAAGATGCATTTTGATAGAGACTGTGCCATTTTTGTGTGCTTTGCAGCAATGGAACTGGTATTTGGTCTAACGAAGGTTGTGTGCGTGAGAGCGGGGACCTCAACTACTCTGTGTGTCTTTGTAACCACCTCACTAACTTCGCCATTCTGATGCAAGTGGTGCCTCTGAAGGTGAGATTAAGCAAAGGAGTAACTGCTGGAAACAAAACGTAAATACACACCACATCAGTAAGTGATTGCAACTGGGCTCGTATTGGTCCCATTTAGATTTAATCCACAGCTTGTTTGCTGGGATGTTGTATTAATCCTTCTGGACTATGTATGCTTTCTAAAACATTTGGGAACTGAATGGAGCATACATCTCTGTGGTAGGTGGGAGTCCTGAAGTACTGTATGTTATTATTACCCTATTAGTACTATTTCTTAAAGTAGTAGGTAGGAAAAGCACTGGAAAACATAGCACAGACCAGCCTGGGTTTGATGATTCATTTTCAAGACCAAGATAGCTGAGATGTGGCTGTTCAAGGCTTTTGCTAAGTAGACTTGCAGAATTTGAACAGCCAAGCTTGAACTCCCTGTGAAGCAAACTGCTGCCAGCTGGCCCCAATCATCTGCTCTGCCAGCTTTTCAAGTGCCTCTCTGCTACTCTTTCTCCACCTCCTTGCCAAGTGAAGACTTGTGTAGAAGTGTGAGAAAGCAATGGAGGTTTTAGACAGTGAACCCCTTATGTATAGTTTCTCTATGCTCAGTTCCTCTGTCCAAAGAGTTGTTAAGCAGATTTACTTCTTTGAAGCCAGAACGTGACCAAGACTTTCTACTTGACTCTCATACTCATCTCTGCTTTGAAATGGAGTTTAATGATAAACACATCACTTTTCTCACCAAACATGTTCTTGCCTTCATAATGCTGTGTGATGCCTACAGATTTCCTCAGAGATGGCAGCATTGCTCCTTGCAGGTGAAGTGCTGGCTTGTGCCTCCCAAAGGAATTCCTCTCCAAAGCTCAGCACCAGGCAAAGCCAACCCTCTACTGGGTCTTAGCAGGCAAACAGCCAGCACTGCTATGAGCATGAGAAATATGATTTTACTGCTTTATTTGGTGTGCTGCTGTCAGGGAGGATCCTATAGAGGCAGCGACAAAGCTCTGCTCTGGAAAACTCCCAGCTGATAAATAATGAATCTATAATATAAATAATTTACAGACCATACATTTAAAGTAATTTATACTGATTGTCTGTCAAATTTATACTCTCAGTCACATTCTCAGCTTTTTACAGACACCATCCTAACAATGTAAATTAACAACTGAAGAAGAGCTGCAGTGGGACAGTAGGAGTCGTAGTGTCACATTTATCACAGTGTGCTACTAACAAGTGCAGTGTCCTCTGTGGTACAGCTAGAGGGTTTTTGTCAGCTTGGTTGGTGTGGATGCATTGACTAGCGGGCCACGTCTCAGGCTCCTGTTAATTGGTTTGAATGATAGATTTGCTCTTATTTTAGATGGTAGCCCAGCCCTGAGCTAGTTGCTGCTGCAGGATGAGCTGCCTGTGCTTGTGATGGCAGCTCAGAGGTTCTTGCAGATAGATAGAAAAGTGAGCTTGCAGCTCAGGGTAATCAGGGCTATCCCACTGAGCTGCAGCAAAGACTTCTCAAGGAATGAATGATTCATAACTGCCACTAGGAATTACTGATTCAGTAACACTGTTAGCACAACTGCTTGCATGATTATCCCAGTTACGTGGTGTCATGCCATCACAGTTGGGGTAAGGGTGTAGAACAGAATGGTCTGCAATCCAAATAACTTAATTAATTCCCAGAGTCCTCTGTACTGGTCTAGTCATTCGAAGAGGGAGGGCACCTTGTTCAGTCTGCCAGTTTTTATCTATCCTTTGTTGTCCTTGTGACTTATAAAGCACCTGATGATCCCAGCTCGTTTCTAAGTATCATTTTCTGAGGAACATTTTGTGCTCACAATAAAATGCAGTTTTGCCTACAGAACTTCCCACTTCTGAGGTAAAAATAGAATGGCAGAAATATGGTATTATTAAAATTGTTTTAAAGAGCAGTACACAGAGATTAAATGATTTAGCACAATTGAACAGGGCATCCACCAATTAAATGCTGGTGAAAGATTAGTTGATTTTCCATTAGGGAATAATTCTGAAAGGCATAACTTTCAAACAAACAGATGTGAGATTGTTATGATTAAAGAGATGTTGGGGTAAGTTTTAATAATATGCAGTATTAGTCACTAGAGATCAAAGACATTTTATATCAAAGCCTTTTGAGTCAGACTATCTTAAAGAGACCTGAAATGCATAACTAGGAAACAGGAATGCACTGTCCAGTTCCTCACAGTCATTTACTGGTTCTATTTTCAGTATTTTGTTTCAATTTTTGTAAAATGTCTTTGAACTGCTGTTTTACTTGTTCATGGTAAGTTAGAAAACAAAACTGATGTAGAATCTCATGTGAGATGTGTAGACCAAGATAGTCTGATGCATAGAAAGCTTAATATCCATCTTTTTCCCAGATTTTAACATAATGCATTGGTTGACAGAGAACAACGTTGATGTGGAAATCCATGAATGCTCAAGACCAGTTCAGTGTGATATGTGTTCTGATGTACTTGGCCCTTCTCCATGGGAAAGAGATTGATTTTCTTTTTGCTTAAGAAAAAAAAGCATAAGTGTTTTTTAGGCATTGAGAGTATTCAAAGAGAATTTGTTGTTCAAAGGACAGCATGAAGTGCTCTCCTAGTTCAGAAAAAGCTGAGGTGTCTCTAAGCAAGGAAGACTGAAAGTAAGTGACTTTCCTCAGAAATAACCTTCCACAAGCATTTCTAACCAAGCAGGGAGCTGAGTTTTGATGACAGTTGTTTACCAAGGATAGTGACTTTTTCTTTGGAGTTATGCAAAACTCAAGCAAGAATCTCCTTGGTTGACTCTTTGTCCCTTCCCATGATCAAGTCTGGCTTTTTCCACTTCTAGAACAATAGCATGATTCAGACCCACCAGCTTTGATGCATTTTGCCCTCATGCCTTCCTTCCTGCTAACACTGCCCTAATTCACTTGTGAGCACTATAAATTCTCAAGATTCTTTATCATTGCAATTTTATGTCAAGGAAAAGATCTAGGTAAATACTCAGTGCATCTGGCTTGGAGAGGAATCACAACGTGTCATACGGATTTTATTTTCTTTCAGAGGGACATTTATATGAACAGAGTTGTAGGATATCTGGCATCTGGTAGTGCTTTCTCTTGAAAACCTGTAATGTATTGAGACAAGGAATGCTGACATTGTTAGAGGCAATTATGAGGCAGACTGTCAGGTAGGCCTAATTTAAACAGAAATACAAGAAAGTAGGTAGGTAGAAGCTCTGAGACATAAGAGCATTTGTCCCAATATTTCAGAGAAAGAAACTGAGAGTGCATAAAAGAAAGCTTTACATTCTGGAATGCTAACTTCAATGTGAGAAAATTAACCCCCACTTTTATATCGGTGCACTACACAACAGTGCGTGGAGAAGAACTTATTTGAATGCTGTGAGTTAGCCTGAAACTGAGTTTGGATTACAAGTGTAGTTGAACACTACTTCAAATTTCACATTAGTTTCAGCAACAACTTGAATGCACTAAAGCTGCCATGATTGTGGAAGAGCAGTACTAACAATACTGCTGATGAGCCTGAGATCCATGTCTGCAGTTAGCTGCTTTCAGACATGAAGGAGAGTCACAGTTGTAACAAGTTTATTTCAGGAATGAAAAAAAACAGTGGAAAAGCTTACAAACATGTGGCACTCAGATGACAGGCTGGCACTGACCTGTTAGCCTGCTGATGAACTGGCCACGTGGAGTGCCAAAATTATCCATGTCTTCAGCACTCTGTTGTTATGGTTGGCCCAGAATTAGACTTGCTTACCGAGATTCATTTATCATACCATTTGCATGGAGTTTTGGAGATTTGTGGCAATCAATTTGTTTAAATAAATAAGCAAATCCAAGATAAAATGTGACTAAAGATGAGAAGAATGTTCCTGAAGGAACACATTCAGCCCTTGATTGCCTTTGTGAGGTTGCAGTTAAGGCCAGGATACCATCAGAATGTGGAAACTATTGAGAAGCCTTTTCAAAACTCTGGGCAATGTAGTAAGATTGAGACCTTTACAGAAACACCACTCTGACAAAACAGGTCAGTGTGATGCTCAGAGCAGATGTGCAGATATTAACCAATTAGTTTATGCTCCTCCTTCTGATGGGGAAACTGAGAAAAAGCAAAAAAGTCCCATGTAGCAAATTCTTGCTGAAATTGCACTCTCAGGGATTCATGCCTGTCTTTGTCCTTTCTTGACCTGCAGAATGCACCTTTCATCTCACTCTGTCCTTCTTGCTGTCAGAGCACATCTGTATTGCCAGCTGCCCTGCAGTGCTACACTTTGGAAGACAAAGGTGCATTAATATAGCTGTGGTAGGAAAAATAAATAAGCCATTTCGTTTGGTATAGCTAAACTGAAATATGTTTGCTTCTTTTGGAAAAATTGCAAGTGGAGAGCACCTGGAGTGATATTTTGGTGGTTTTCTCAAAGTACTGCAGTCCTCGTTGTAGATTTGAACCTGAAATAGGAACAGCAGAGGACAGGAGATGAGATGTTCCCTCAGTTAAGCACCCTCCACTTGCACAGGAGCTGGGTAGATCTCAACCTGCAACAAATGGTACCTCCTGCTGGAGAGGAACGTGCCCACGCCTGGGTTGGGAAGGACAGCTGACATCAGGAGGAGAGATGTGGGTGATGTTCATCCTGCACAGTCATGCAGAGGAATGTCACAAAGTGCTTCCTAGCCAGCAGGAGTCAAATCCAACATGGAGCAAGCCACATTTCAAAAGCACTCCAGATGCCATTATTTCTATTTGGGCAGCTTTACTTCCTCTCAGCAGTCAGTGGGGTCCTGTGCTCCTGCCAAGCAAACATGACAGGCATCTAGCAAATTTTATTTTTATAGTGATCCAACTACTACAGGGCATGCCAGGCTATTTGTACCATCTGCCACAAAAATGTCATCTCAGCAGCAAAAGCATGGTGGACACCTGGGGCCTGAGTTCCAAAGCCTTAGAAAAGAGAAATCACTGTCCCCACGGCAAAAATAGAGCATGAAGTTTGGGTCCCTCTCCA